CCACACCACACAGCTTGGTGCTGTCAGCAGACTTGCTGAGGGTGAGAAGCTGGGACACCATCAGCCAGCCAGTCACACCCTTGTCAAAGCACTTCCTACGTCAAAGGCTCTGATTTGCCAAAAACAAAGTCTGTTCAGGCAGCTTACGGATGCAAGCGAGCAGGTATGGAAGGAAAGGCTGTTTTCTTACCTGCCTGTTCTTGCTACATAAAATTCCCTTCTTGTCAGGGTTTAGTGCAGTAAGGCCATGCTATTTCAGTACGTCACTTGCCGTCTTTTTTATGATAGGTGTATTATATTAAAATCGCAGAAGTGACTGAACCTGCGTAAAATTAATTTTAATCCATCTTTCTTTGGAAATGGACTTAAATAAGGAACATCAGGAACAAGAGATGAGAAAGACCACCATTGTGCAAGTAAGTCTTTGCAGAAAAGAACATTCATGTAGAAGTCAGGATCTCAGCTGTCTTGCTCTAGAAAGTTGCACCACCACAGGTGACATCACTGTGACAGAGTAGTATTTTTCTTTCTCAGTTTACAGCACTAAACTCTTAAGTGCAAGAAAAGCACCTTAGTTTCTTATAGCTACCCCGCTAGTTCAGGGTAAAGCCACCTCCCCCCTACACCACAGTGACAGTTTTATTGAGACAGTTATTCCTGTGTCAGTGGGTCTCTACACAGGTACCGTTTTTTCCCCGACTCTTCTTGCAGCTTTAAGTGTAGTTAGCATCCTAAGTACAAATGGGCATTTCTTTCCAACAGATCTAAAGAAAACAGTGAAGTTCTGTACAGGTCTGCCTATGCAAGCAGATATTCTTAATTTGGAAGAATGAAGTTTAAAACCAGACAGTGGTTTGGTTTTTTTTCTATTAAATAGTTATTGAACAGAAAAGAGAGACTGAGTAGTTTATTTAACGTTGTTGCAGACCACAGCATAATTGGACAAATTTGGATTATGTTGGCCAAAGCACAAAGTCTCCAACGCTGTTTTTTTTTTTTTTTTACACCACAATCAGTGTTGGCCGTGTACATTCAACAACAGCAGCAGCAGCAGCCTAGTCATCGTCTTTCAGCTTCTTGATCTTATGCTTATGACGCTCGATCTCCTTCTGCAGCCGCTCTATCTCTTTCTTGTGGTGATCAATCTCTTCCTCATGGTGTTTCCGTAAGGCAGCAAGCTGCTCCCTCTCCTTCTCCCTGCAAACAAGCGCGGCTCGAGGTGCAGCCCC